TTAATGGTCACAAAGCTTCCACAATCTCAAAGTCCATTCCAAATCAATAAAGCACTCAGGTATGACTCAAACCTGTTAGTTTTCATAGAATTATTGGTTATTCCCATAATCTAGTTATTTAATTAGGATCTCAGTAATCTTTAGACTTTAAGGTAACACTTTACTGAATGAAGTCCATTTTTAAAATGTGCGATATAAATAAATTTGACTTGACTTGACTTGGATGCCTGGGTGTTATCTCAAACCCAACAGCCAAATAGAGATACTGAAGCAGAAGCTCAACCAGTTCCACCCAAACTGAAAAATGAAGAATGAAGTTGACTGGAACCTTCCGTTGACTTTCCTGTCCAAGAATTCCGTCTGGTGAACATATCCTCTAGTCTTAGACATGTCTAGTGTGTCCTTGATTTCTAGTATCACAATCCCCTAGCCTCACATTTTTTATGCTAAATGGATGGTATACTGGATATGTTAATGGTTTCTGTTATGTGGAGCGAGAGCATTCCCAAACGCTCACAGAATATGGGACTGTCTTCAGTTCTTTGATGATCTAAGAGAGCTATAGTCCAAATAGTGCCTGCTAAAAACATTTCTGGTGTGGGATAATGAGCCCAGACATCTGGTTACCTGGTCATTCTCTTCTTTGTTCTTTCAGTCTAATTAAAATGATAGCTGCAGTTGTTTTCCTCTTCTCTACTGTTGCAAAAGTGCCAAGTCTTTCTGTAAAAAGACGTATTTATGGTGTCTACCCATTTAATAGCAGAGGCTTGGTAATTCTCGTTTTCATCCTCACAAAGGTTAGGTTTTATTGTATTGTGTTGTATTTACCATTTTTATGTAGTTACCTCTAGCTTTTATGTAGTTTTATATTGCTATAAAATATGTGCTGCAGTAGAACACAGAAATATTCAAGGTGGTTTCCATTGCATTCTTTCAGTTATCGTGGCCTTGGTTTCATCATTGAACAAAGGGGGGGGTTAGCATGCACATTGTGATGTAAATCAATACGGGTAATAAAAGCTTAAACAGACTTCTTTTAATATGCCAATGACTAAGCCTTCTGTAAAACTGTTCAGAATTCTCAGACAGGCATTGATTCAGGGTGTCTGGGTTTGTCTGCATCCAGTTCTAAATTTTATTAAGATTTTCCCTTATCAATGTGCGTTTGTGTGTTAGCATTAGTTATAGATAAAGCCAGGGCCTGAGCAAAATACATTGCTGAATCAAAACTTTGAAGGAATTAAGGCATGTATCAGTCAAGAAAAGCAAAGCATCCCTGCTAGTAATCTCCATGCTGTACATGCTGTCATGCTCAGTGGGTACCAAGGGTATGCAATGAATTACTTCACTGCAGCGCATATTCAAGCACTGCTCATGCATTTAACCATCTGCTCCTATTCTAGGGTGCCTAGGAAATTAGTCAGTAGATTATAATAACATTGCCTGGGACTAGGTGAGCACAGGCAAACAATGAATCCTTACTGAGCAGCTCGTTTGGAGCTGAGCCATTGATGAGTACTAAATAAAACATGAGATATTCTCACAGCTTTCGTAAACTACTCTTATGCTCGTGCTGCCGTGAGAACCATATGGTGCTGAGGTGAAGCAAAACTCACCCACACATATCACACACAGAGAAAATAGAAAACAACGAAGTAGATAACAACAGATGAGAAATATTTGTGATATGAAAAATATTTATGTTATTTACATTATTCTCAATACTGTAGGATTCATCCTGTTTTCCTGACCCTACTGTGCAGCTCTGTGCTTCTTTATAGAGGATTATAAGGTCAAAGTCTATTCTCATGGTCTGTCTTTTGTGCTGACATCTTAGACTAGTTTCTGACAGCGTTAGAGTGAGTTCTTTGAGCTGACAGCATGGATGATGTTCTAGTGCCCTGTTTATGAGGCAGCTCTGCTTTTTAATATGCAGCTGGTCTTCCAGGCCACCGGGGTGCCTTGTGTCTCACTCCAGCTCCTCAAGAAGTCTACATAAATAATTCACTCATCCTGTATCTGAGGAGGCACTCAGCTGAAATAGATTTGATATTTTATTCTGTGTCAAAAGCCTAAGCTTGGGATCAAACACAAACAATGCATCGGAGCATTGTGGCTCTGGCATACACCAGTCTTCGTTATCCCGAATACTCCAAATAGTATTCATCTGTGGCTTCGCAGTGAAAATGCACAATTTGGTTTTGGGGATTTTTTTTTTTTTGGCAGGTCCTGTTAAATCCTTTAAGGATTGAAAAATGAGCTCAAATACTGCAGTTTTCCTTTAGAATCTATCTTTAGTCACACTGCTGTAGCTCTTTGCTATACATTTCTAATATTTCCTGTTTGTTTTGCATACATACTGATAATTGATGCAAGTATGTAAATAACACAAAATTGTTTATTTGTTACTCTAAAATTCTGTGTTGTTCTTTGCTGTGTTTTATGTAGAGTACAAGAAACCATATAAACGTGTTTCTGAGTAAGAAGATGAAATTGTGAGAAAGTTCCTTGAGTAATAATGCCTTTTTATAAATGTGTTCATTGCAAACTGTCTAAAGGACTGTGGTGCATAAAGCTGGAATAGACTTACTTAAAACCAAAGTTTTGAGCAACTTTTTCTTCAGGATTTATGGATTTAGAGACCTCTCTGGCAGATATGTTATTGCAAGCATCGTGTATTGTTACGTGCAGATGAGAAACTCCGATGCAGAAACTCCGAAAGCTTAGGCTTTTGACACAGAATAAAATATCAAATCTATTTCAGATGAGTGCCTCCTCAGATACAGGATGAGTTAATACAATGGTTGCAGTACCTGATATCAAATCAAATTAGAATGAGGAAGTTGTGTTTTGTTTGATTTCTTATTGTGTAATGTGTAAGAAAGTGTAAGACAGTGGTTAAAGGCTCACCAGGCCCCCAAGTCTATCTTTAAACTCGTGTAACTACTACACCACATGGCCAAAAGTTTGTGGACACCTGACTGTCATACCCATACATGGGCCTTCTCCAAACTGTTGCCACAAACTTGGAAGAAAAACATTTTTTTTACTCCTTTTGATTCTAATTTGGTTATTTTCCCATTCACAATTACTAGCTAGCTTTCTCTTATTGTATGTAGTAGGGAGGGTGAGTGTTAGCACATCCATGCATCCATATTCCATACTGTTTATCCTACACAGGGTCGTAGGGGGATCATGGAGCTTATCCCAGGGAACTCAAGGGGGGGACACCCTAGATGGGGTGCCAAACCATCGCCGGGCACAATCCCACACACAGTCACACACACTATGGAGAATTTGGAAATTCTAATCAGCCTACAGCACGTCTTTGTAGTGGGGGAGGAAATCGGAAACCCCCGAAGCACGTCCCCGTGCATATATGCAAATGCCACACACGCACAGGGCAATGGCTAGTTTCAAACCCCTAGCCACAGACGTGCAAGGCAAAAATGTTAACCACTACGCCACTGTGCCCCCCAGGATAGCACATACTTCCTCCTAAACATGTAAACCACCTCTTTTTATACTGCAGCATATACAGTACTGTGTCACACGGCAGCTAAACATTCAACAAAGCACTAACTTCCATATTCATGAACTCACAGATGTTCACAAATGCCCACAATCGAATAGGACAGATTCATCTTATCCCTCTCACCAGAGAACAGGAACAATAATCTCTTTTCAATTCCTGGCCATGGATGTCTGTGGCATGATCAGGATTCTGTCCTATTATCACTCGGGAACCCCTGAGTCTTAAAATTGTGACTTGTATCTTGACTTGCATTCAAGTGTATGTGTTTTTGGAATAATTTTCCCTACCGGATCAATAACTTTAATTACTAACAAAATCATTCCCCACTGCAGCTTTAAACTGATTAAATCATTGATTATTTAGGGTCCTTATCTAAGAGGCTAATCCCTACTACTGTCCCTGTTCACACCTCACTGGACACTAACTCCAGAAACAGACACAGTCTCTCTCTGGCCTATCACATACTGTATTTCTATTCTTTCTGAGTTTCTACTTATCTTTTTACCTGCAGTATACTTCTGTCTGCTTGTGTGGGCATGTGTCTCCTTTCATCTTCTTAAATCTCATGAAAATGTCTTACTTAGATAGTATTCGAAGATCACTTACAGGAACAAGGGACAGAGTGATGTAATATTGTGGAACACGCTGAAACATAATGCTGCATATTCCATTTATGGCTCCATTACTTAGAGACTAAGATACCACTTAAATGTAATTCCAACTATAAAATGATATGCAGCTTCTAAACATTATAGTCAAATTAATATTTTCAGGTTGGTTGGAGCTTATCTGACTCACTAGGCACAGTATTTGACTCCATGTCAGTGATAATGTGATTAAATCAAGAGACGTTCCATGAGGAGGATGGAGAAAGGTGCTTTTTAATCACAGAGATGGACCCATTTCCCTTGTTTAAAAAAACATTGTGAGCATTTAAGGTCTGGCCATATATTTTTTCACTTTAATTTTAAGGTTAGATGAGGACCTGAGATCAAACATTGAGGTAATAAAGTGCCATTTTTAGTTCTCTAGAAACTTGCTCTTTACTAAGTACAAAAAAGCCACTTCCTTTGTAAAACTCGTCATCTGAAACCGTTTTAAAACTAGACTATATCTCCATCTAGTGCTGGGAGTGAGTAATACACCTGAGCTGAATGGGAAAATACAAAAGTACTCAGATTACCAACATATTCACGGTTCTGCATTTTTAGCCTATGTTAATGCCAAGGTAAAAGACCGATATAATTCATCACAAAATAAAAAAAATAAAAAATAAAAATCATGTGTTTAAAGAAAAAAATCCACCCTAAACAACACAACTTTTCTTCTTTCGGCATATTGATTCTGGCACAGGTTGTACACAGGACGCCCTTTCTGATGCAACCCTTCCCATTTTCTGGCCTTGGGTCTAGTACTGAATGTGCACTGGCTTGTACTGAATAACCCTCCAAGTGGCTGGGATTGGTTCCCTGACCAGGAATCAAACCTGGGCCGTGGTGAAGAGAGCGCCGCATGCTAACCACTAGTCCACAAGAGAACCAAACAAAACACATTTTAATATTTGTAATTAACATTTGGTCTTCAATGAAGGAAAAGATTTATTATATATTTCAGTTCTCACCAGTTCAGTTGACCTTTTTGGTTTAAACGTCTCTCATCTACAGTTTGGTTTCACTTTACATCACCCACAATGCCATCCAACTACTAGCTGATAGTGGCGTCAGTTTGATTTCGCTTTTGGTTCATCTCTACCTAAAAAAGAATGATGCAGCAACCCTCTAGTCCTTTAGTCTGTCTAGCTCTTTCACCTCCACATCATCTGTACACTCTGTTTAAACAGATCAGGTTCCAGAGCTTCAAGTTTCATGCTAATACCACTCCCAGCACCATTACTCTTGTCATCTCATAGGTTGCTAATTAGCTGTGTTCTGCCGTAACTCAACAAGACTGCATTGAATAGCTGAATTGCATTCTGATTTTGAGTCCACTGCATACTGTCTCCACTGTTTCTACACTGGAGGTCACATTAATATTGGATTGACATTAAATGTCACTGGAAATGATGAGTGACAATGTCTTGCTCTTTAGTATTTAGGAGCTAATAGTGAATCCTGATTGTTATACACTGTGTTTGAGATCATTGAAATTGTTTCTTTTATTCAACCTCATTGTAAATGCACTAGCAATATCTCCTTGTCACATCAGAGCAGTAGACAACCACTAACTTCTCAGAGCAATTACAAAGATAAAGCCCTAACCAACAAATTAGCACCAGAATCACTAAACTTCTCACAAGTATTTCAAATCAAAAACATTTCATGTGTTTCAGAGTAGGATTTTCCTTTAAATGCACAGAAAGTAATGGGTAAGAAGAACTGGACTAATGCAGCATGATTAATTAAGATATGATTAATTCAAAAATCTTTTGTCTTTCCTCCCCCACAGAAACTCTCTGACAACGATCTGAGCAAGTTCAGTCTCATCCACCGGCCGTAAGATATAGTTTCGTTTCCTCCTTTCTGCTACACATTAACATGTTCACCTTCACAATTGAACAAATTGACTTCCTTATAGAACAAAATACGTTCAGAAACTTCTGGTTCACAAACACATACTTTCACATTCTTAACCCTGAGCGATCCTCTTTTATAAAAAAATTTTTTTAGCACAAGCAGTGATAGCTCAGCAGGTAAAACCAGGGTCAAGCCAAGTTATATAACACTTTTTGGAAAAAAAAAATTAGCAATGTTTTACGTTTTTTTTGATAATGAGACTTTATTTATCACATATACACAGTGAAATTATTTTCTTCGTATACCCCAGCAAGCCAGGAAGCTGGGGTCGGAGAGCAGGGTCAGCCATGATACGACACCCCTGGAGCAGAGAGATGTTAAGGGCCTTGCTCAAGGTCCAAACAGTGGCAGCTTGGCGGTGTTGGGGCTTGAAACCCCGACCATCTGATCTGTAACCCAAAGCCTTAACCATCAATCCACCACTTTGTCAAAAATATATGTTCAGGGGAAGAACTGTAGTCTATATGGCAGTCTAGGTTGCATGTCGGTGTTTCAAAATTAGGTGGCAAACCAATATGAAATCAATTATTAAAAGCAAAGTAGAGAAGCCACAATCATAATTGATTTCATATTGAATGAATAAAGGCATTCATTCATTTAATATGAAATCAATTATGATTGTGGCTTCTCTACTTTGCTTTTAATCATATTAAATGCCAATATAGAAAGCTTTGCCTTTTGCACTAGCATTCCGGTCCTCTAGCCTAGAGAGCTGTGTGTTTTGTTCATGACTAGAGAATATTAAAGAGCGTATTCTCTAATGATTAGAGATTACTAAAGAGCTCATTTCAGTTAACTTATGAACAAATTTCACCGAATACACCTTAGTACTATTTTTATGTGTGAATGAATTACTTGTGAATTGTGTAGACATTAATGGCCATAACAGAGCTACCAGAATTTTGTCAATTTTTTAATTTTTATTTTTTTTTTTTACAAAACATTAACACTATAGGAGTATGCACATGCAAATACTATATTTGGAAAGGCAACATGATTACGGCCCAAAAGTAATGCTTGCACATAGGTTTATTTAGAAGTTCTGCACTAATCCCACTATCCCAGTGTCACTTAGCAGAGGATGAGTTCACTTTTGAGTGCAGTTCCTCACATCTTCATGTCATCTCAGGGAGTTTTTCCTTGCAATTCTCAACTCTGGCTTTGCTCATTAGAGATCTACATCTGGATTTTTTAAGTTGCTTTGTAAAAATAGTTATTGTTGAAAGCACAACACAAATATATAAATAGGTTGGTCCTTATACAAAATGAATTCAGTAAGAAACCATAATTACTTATGCATCTTAAACCGTAAATAATAATAATAATATTTAACATAATGAAATTCTTTATGCAAAGTTGTTTGTATATAGGCTAACATCGGACAGATTTCAACATGCTATAGAAGTTCCTTCTCTTCTTAGGTAAAACATACTTCCTCTACCTAAACCATGAGACCTTTAACTGCAGACATGCTGCTCTTAAAATAAGCACCTGCTCAGTTTCAGTAACTGATCTCACTCATATATAGAGCCATAGGTTAACATTTTAGGTGTGTGCATCCTTTTTAGTATGCATTGTGGTACTTTGGTACTTTTTCTTGCTGTCATTTCATTATCAGCTTATTTTTTCATCTTTTGTGCACTTCAAGATAAGGGTGTGCTCTCTCCGCATTACAAAACCAAAAAAATTCAATGACAAAATTCACATTGTAACTTGAGAAATGTTTGGTTTATAATGTGTGCCAAGCACCCATATTATTCTTGTGATTCAGATTGTTTTGAAACATCTCCCTGTTTCATCATCATGCCAGTTCAGAACAAGGTAATAATACTTCAGAAAAATTGACAGCAAATGCATAATATTGTCAGCATATGAGTATTTATCAAAATCAAAGACTGTCTGTGCGCAAGATATGGTGTGAACAATTGCACATATGGTGTGCGGGAATGTTCAACACAGTGGCCATGTCTAAACTGTCTATTAGTTATGAAGAAAATAAAGGATTATGGTGTGTGACATGGTGACAGTAGGTAACGTTTTGAGTGTATGTGTGTGTGTGTGTGTGTGTGTGTGTAGACGCCGTTCTCTGTTTCTTTCCCACCTCCCAAAAACATGCCAGTAGGTGGATTGGCTACACTAAATTGCCCTGAGGTGTGAATGAGTGTATGAACGTGTGTGCAAGTGGCCCTGTGATGGATTGGTATCCTATCCAGGGTGTATTCCCACCTCATGCCCGGTGTTTCTAGAACAGTTTTTGTATCCACCACAACTCTTTTACTGAAAGTAAATTGAGAATGATTGTGTAACTATAAAATTCAAATTTTAAACATCTTGTAGGTTAGCAGATAGAGGCTAAACAAACACAATCTTACCATACTAACCTGATCGAGTCCTGACACCCAGCAACATGCAGGTTGACCATTTGTTTAAATTTGCATCGTTATCTATGCACCTAATGACTTTCAGATCCTCTTCCATCATTGTATATAGAAACTGGATTATTACGTCAAACTTTTATTTAATTATAAGTATATTTGTCAACCTTACAAATATTATAGTATTAAGTAGTATGTTCCTGTTAACCCTATTGTGTATAGGTAAAATGGTGTGTTCAGTGAAACAGCAAAATGTTTTCTCTTAATCTGAGCAAAGAAAAGTACCTTCAGTACTTAAGGTTTATGTTTTTAGTGTTTATGGGTTTTACTTGATGGTAACAGCTCATGCTTTAAAATATGCAGGGTGTTAAATAGTGATTCAGCAGGAAAAGATGCAAAGTATTAAATGAGAAACATGAAGAAGGTCAGAGATGAAAATAGACAGAATGACGCAGACTCTTAGACCAACCCTGACAGAGTTTCCATTCAACACACTTTCCAAATATACACTATGATGCAAGATTAAGACCTTAGTCTGCAGTATATACTTAAATAATAGAGAATAGTGATTTGTTGGCAAATTCTTTCTTTAGTTATAGGGGTTTTTTTAGCATCAGAGCTGAATGTGTCCCTGCATATTAATTAGGTCTGAATGAAAAAAAGCAAACTGAAAAATTGAAATGTCAGGGTTTATTTTAAATAAAACACTATGTATCACTGGGGGATTTAAAGCCCTGTGTCAGAAAATCATTTAGATAATCTACATCACCAGCGAAAACAACGAAAAACTGGTTTACACCTTACAATTACAATCCAATTTTCTTTTTTTTGCTTGGGTGTCAATGGGAGAACATTTTTTACTCTTTTCAGCAGTACAAAGTAAGAGTCAGGACAGTGCAGATGCAATACTAAAGGTATAAAAACATGTACAATTTTGATTAATGTTGTGTCTACAGAATCCTCATTGGAGAGCGGTGATCTAAAGCACCAATGCAAGGTCATAAGAGAGCACTTTTAAACATGGAAGGTGTTGATACCTAACAGCACTGACACTACTACCGGTTATGTAAATTCATCCATTTTATGCACCGCTTATCCTACATGGGGGCTCCTGGAGCTTATCACAGTTAACTTATGCCAGGAGCAGAATTAGAGGGACACTCTGTATGGGGTGCCAACCCATCGCAGGACACAATCGCGCACACATATACACACTACAGACAATTTGGAAATGCCAATCAGCCTACAATGCATGTCTTTTCTCTGTGGGAGGAAACCAGAGTACCCGAAGGAAACCTCCCGAAGCATGAGGAGAAAATGCAAACTCCATGCATGCAGGGCCTCCAGAACCCTGGAGGTGCGTGCCCCCAGTTATGTAAATGAAACATATCATTTTGTTAAAGAAATATTGAATTTAAATGGTTTTCGGTGGATTTCTATGGAGCTTGTGATTCTTATAGCTGCATGTAAAAATACAGCAGGAAGGATAAATGGATGAATGCGCTTTTTTTGCAGCTTGTGTGGATTTAAACGCAGTGTAAAATAGAGGCATGACTAAAACGCTTTAGTGTGTACTGAGTATAGGCAAA